TCCTAACATCTTTATTTATTTATTTATTTATTTATTTATTTATTTCTAGGAGAGAGAGAGAGACAGTGTGAGCAGGGGAGGGTCAGAGAGAGAGGGAGTCACAGACTGAAACAGGCTCCAGGCTCTGAGCTGGCTGTCAGCACAGAGCCCGACGCGGGGCTCGAACCCACGAACCGCGAGATCATGACCTAAGCGAAAGTCGGACGCTTAACCGACTAAGCCACCCAGGCGCCCCAAGATCCTAACATCTTAAAGAGAGGCACCTCTCCAGTACACGTCCGTCAGGGCCTGGCGGGCGCTTATTTTGTGCCCCTCCCTCTCCAAGGCTGGGGTCACAGTCCTTTCTCTGGTGCTGCCCCCTAACATGCCCCCACCACACTATGGCGTTCGTCTCCCATGGCTGCTGTAACAAGCCAGCACAAACTTAGTAGCTTCACCCAACACGAATCCATCATCTTACAGTTCAGGTCAGAGTCCGACACGAGTCCCAGTGCGTGAAAATCAAGATGTCGACAGGGGCGCATTCCTTTCTGGCAGCTTTGAGGAGAATCCATTTCCTTGCCTTTTTCCGCTTCTCAAGGTCCCCCACGTGCCTCAGATTGTGGCCCCTTCATCTTCAAAGCCAGCCACATAGCCCCTCTCTGACCATTCCTCTGCGCCGGGGCCCCCCCTAGAACCCCGTAGCTGGGGAGAGCGCTCTGACGCAAGGACCCGTGCAATTAGACTGGGCCAATCTGGTTAATCAGGCTGTTCTCGCACCATGGGTTCCTAACCCTCGGTCCCCATCTGCACAGCGCTTTCTGCCCCGTCAGGTAATGTATGCACGGGCTCCAGGGACTGGGGTCCGAACATGTTGGGGAGCCATTTCTCTCCACACCTCAGTCATCTTTTGTGTCTTCCCAGTACCAACCAGTGAAATCTGTCTCTGTTTCCTAGTTCGAATCGCCAAGCTGAAGAATCGGATTGGCCTCCCATTGGGCCTCCTCATCCTGCCCTTTGGGCGCTGGTTTTCACACCAGATCC